TCATCCGCCCCCACCACTCACCCCCTCCCACCCCTCCACAATGAGAAAAAAAAAGTGCCTACCAGACCAGTCATGTTGGACGCCTGAGTGGAGAGCAGGAAGTGAATCCATCCCACAGACTGGTAGAGCAGCATGTCACTGGTCAGTTCCTGTTTCACACAAGTCGGAGATGTTAGTGTGTGTGAGTGTATGTGTGAGAGATTGTGTGAGTGTGTGTGTGTGTGTATGTGTGTGTGTGTGTGCGTGTGTGTGTGTGTGTCACTGTGCGTGTGTATAATGCGTTAGTGTGTATGTCACACAAGGCAAACATATTTTCTAATATCTAAGAAAATGTCATTAAAAACCATTTCAGTTTATTATTAGTGCCCAAGTGCTTAATTGGCTGCTTGCATTGTATGCTTCCCAGGAATTCAAGAATTTGTCAAAGTATTCTAGGGTCTGCGAGTTGTAAAGCGCATAGAACACGTAGTAGAGCTGGAGTTGTCAAGCAGGGCTGGGAGCCCACCTCCTAAATGATCTATACTGGGTCGATAGGGGCATAAAAAACATCTACAAAAAGAAAAAAATGTTCTGTTCCCATATACCTGTACATAAGTGTCTATACAGCTGGCCCCGTCGTTTTATGCAAGAAAAATTCTGAAATTATGCAGACTGAGCCCAAAGATATGAAATTATGCGATTCTGATTTTCTTTTTTTTTTTTTACAAAGAATGATAAAGGAAAATAATAAGAAATTATGCAAAAAATGATCAAATTTTGCTAAATTATGCTGGGTGCATAAAACCACGGAGACAGATCAGATACAGCAGGAATACCTGTATGCACCATCAATATACAGCAAAAGTGGGCATACCCTACCTGGAGGAGACGTTTGGTTTCATTAGTGTGTGTATATTTGTTTGGTTAGTGAGAAAACTCTCCATGTCTTTTAAAGAAACTGAACAAGTGTTCAAAAACTTTACCTTCGATTTTCTCAAAACAGCATTTTTCGGGATAGCCCCCTTGTGCTTAACACTTTGCCGCCTCGTCTCGCCGATTGGCGATGTTTACCACCCAGTTTCTTTGGATTTCCCCCAAAATATGATGACAAAGAGTTAAAAGCGACCTGTTATCAAGTAAAACAGGCAGGGGCGGAAGCTCCCCTCTTAATGATCTTTAGTTTATAGTTACAGTAAGAGTTTTCAGCACTTACTACAAAAACAGGTCGTATAATGTCAAAGATTAGAGATGTCACGATAGAGTAACAAACCTTCACAAAAAAAGGAGAGATAAGCACAGTAAATACTTGATAGGAAAAAAAAAGAGCATACTTCACCAGAACCCCTGTCAAATACCTACCGAAATTATCTACATAGTGTTGCTGGGAGCGTAAAAACACCTATATTTTTTTTTTAAGTATATTTATTTTACCTACCTGTACATAGGTGTCTATACAGCAGGCGGTGGCGGAACAGTGCACGGTGTCCCGCGAGAAGTCCAACAGCACACCCTGAGGGCCCACCATCTGGGCCAGTTGGATCTGTGGGGCCGAGTCTACCACCTGGGGGGGGGGGGGGGAAGAAATAAATGTGTTTTATAAAGTTTTAGTAAGGTTTTACGGCGCTCGCAACTGTATATGGTCATATGAGCGCCAAGGGGTGGATGTCAACAGAGAAGTCCAAACAAGGAATCAGACTTACTCTGCTCACCTCTCTAGCCTCAACAGCACAAAGTCTGCTTCGACTATCATTGCACACCGGAAATAGCGGGTCGCAAGAGAGTGACAAACATACAAAAGAAGTAGAGAAAAAATGACGATAGTAAGGATGAGGAAAGTTAAAGCAGCAGTTCCCCCTATGTTGTTACGGCACAGTATGAGCATGACATTGATAAATCAGTCCATTTACAATTCCACTGTGCATAAGAACATGTTAATGTCCCCCCCTTTGGGAATGGCCTAAAGACGCTTCAGTCAGAAGCACTGCCCTGGGGGAGGGGGGGGGGGGAATGTGTGTGTCACTACACAGTGGAGTCAGGCCCTCCTCAATTGTTTGGGGCATATGGTTTCATCATAAAGTTTGTTTATTTGCCTTGCTTTTGATATAAAACTACCCATCTATCTTGAATAGAAGCCAATATATCTGTGATTGAAAGGGCTAGGGATTCCCTGATATCACAGATAAAATAAGCAAGAAAATGGCCACCAAAGTTTGATTGTTTTTGGAAACTGCAAATTTATTTATTTTTGTTGTACTTTGATCAACGGTTATAAGAAAAATTGCACAGAAATGTGTTCTAAAATAGACACGAAAGGTGTTTAGTTAAAAAAAATAAATGTGTATATAAATGGGCCAACAGGCGGAAAAGTGTCATTTATTCTTGATTATTTTGACAAGTGCCTGATTTCACCACAATACCACACACACTTTTACACACTTACTCATTGTTACAGGGTCTTCTGCTATCTTACTCTTATTATAGATCTGAAGTCACATGAATGTCTTGACTATTCCTGTAATGATACATTTTCCACAGGGACAGGCAAGTATTATCTTCTTTTATCTGATCTGATCTGATCTTATATTATCTTATCTTATCTTATCTTCTCTTCTCTTCTCTTCTCTTCTCTTATCTTCTCTCATCCAATCTGATGTGATCTTACCACCAGCTGAGCGCGCAGCCACTTTCCCTGAGTGTGTTGGAACGCTCCGAGACCACCGACTTTACCACTCTCATCTCGCAGCTCTGTCTGTGGGAGGAGAATCATAATTGTGAGAATAATGAGGAGAAGGAGGAGAAGGAGGAGAAGTCTGAAGAAGAAGGAGGAGGAGGAGGAGGAAGAGAAATAAGAATAATTCATCTGTCAATACGTTACGGTGACCAACGCATCAGCAGAGCAGAATATTCCATTTAAAAAATAGAAGAAATAAGGGTTAAGATGACTCATGAGACACATTCAGACAGAGAAGAGTTTGCCACATTTTGAACATCTAAAAGCTTTATTTCCACTTGCGGATGTCCATAGCTTGTGGGCTTCTCTCTTGGCTTCAGCATTTCTAACTTGTGAAGTCTCATATGATTTGCTGCCCTCTGTGAATATATATTTCATTTTTACCTGAGCAAACAGATTTGTAAGTATTCTCAATACCTCCCTCCCCTTTTATCCCCCTACCTATCATACTGCAACCAAACAGTGAAAAGAAAATGTTAAAGAAGCATAATGAATAAAAAGGACTAGCCCCTGTATTATAAAGATCCACAGTAAAGACGGTCACTATCCTTGCTTGTTGCTTACTATTCCGGAAGAGACACGAATGCATACTGGGTTTTTTTTGGTAAGAGTAACTATCTTTTCCAATCCAGCGACCATCTGGGTTGTAGCCCTTCGGCCTGATGAATAACTATAAATTGTCCATTTTCATTTCCCTGGCACCCAAAGCTGAGGAAATCTTAGGTAGCATTGGGAAACAGTGCCTTTTCTCTTCAGGAAGTTTTTTAACACTTTGCAGTCACTTGGTGCAATAATACGACGGTGAAAATGATCCGTTCCTGTCACCTGGTGCAATTACTGCGCCAGGCCCGAGAATTCCGTTGCAGTCACTCTCCTGGCTGGGTGACCAGATGGGGTATTTAGTACTGCTGGCTGTGTGACTGCAAAGTGTTAAAGAATTTATTCTAAATCTTCTAATGGCCAAGAACTTACAAACAAGCCTTCCTCCAGATCTCCCTCCAGAACGGCGTGCTCTCTGTCGCTGTTCACCTCAACAGACTTGAGGAAACCCACTGAAATAGATCATTTGGAATGAAAACAGAACACAAAAAAAGGAAACAATTTAGCTTTTACCAGTTGAGATGAAGCACAAAGCAGCATTTCTGAGATAGGTTGAGACTGCTTCAACACACGAATACATCTGTGAGTAATTTGAAAATGTGATATCGCTTTGAATAATGCGTTATTATCATCAAGGTTATTATTAACTCTAAAGGTCTTGTAATTAAATTTTTGTATGTGGTTGAATGATGCATCTGATGTGATATGTACATTTTGTCAGCTTTATTTTTCTTTTCATAATGAATTTTAATGAGAGTAATATATAGGTCTAATTAAATTTTTTATGTATACCTGCATGTGTTTTTACCATCTTGTCAACCAAGAAAGATTTTCCAATGGGATAATAAAGTATTATCCTATCTTATCTTATTATAATTATAATTATTATTAATATGATTATAATTATTATTATTATTATTATTATTATTATCATTATTATAATTATTATTATCATTATCATTATTATTACCATTATCATTTTTATTATTATTATTATTATTATTATTATTATTATTATTATTGTCATTATCATTATCATCACTGACAGTGAAGGCTCCTCACCAGAGTCCAGAAATGGTAGTTGCTCCGAGATATCCCTCACCACCTGCAGCGTGCCGTCAAAGTTGTCCGGGACTTCAAGAACCAGGTCAGGGATGTCTGGACGTAGAATGTCAGTGTGAGGTCATTGGGGTTTTTTATATACGCATTTTTAAATTAATTTTTTTGTTCTTTTTTTGGTTAAAAAAAAAGCATGCATACATTGCAGATATATCAATACATACATTTGTCATATACAAATATTACAGATGTAATTTTATCTTTCACGATCTGGCATCAATGTATTCTAGAATGTTCCCAATATTTGGAGGATATATCAGGCTTGTCAAACTATGACATAATGATCCCAATATTTGGAGGATATATGCGAGTCTGCCGCAATGGTTTTGTTTTGTTTTACGTATTGCTGGCAAGCTGTTCAAATGGTCTATGCCCAAAGAACACAATGTTTCAGGCGAGAGAAAAATATGTTTTGTTCTTTTAGCAATTGTAGTAACATTATTATGTACTATATTTTCCTTTTCAACATTCAGAATTTGAATCTCAACAAAATATTTCTCTAGCACATGCAACTGATACCACAGATTAAGTCGTTAACCCCGGCAAGTTGCTTCCAGCGGCTCGCGGTTGGAACCAGTGTGCCAGTGAGTCGCTGACAGCTGTTGAGGCACATTCCTTTACGACGACTTTGACATGAAATTACTTTTCGGCGATTGCAGTAAAAAGGTCTCTTTTATCGGAGTTCAATCGTTACATGAAGAACTATCAAAATAGGTTGACTTGTTTTGAGTTAATGATCCATTCAGTGATGTTTTTATCCTTTTTAGATTTAGTACCAAAACAGGGCCCCGGCATAGAGGGTTTTAGCCCCCTCGGAGATAAAGAGTTAAATGTTCTGAGCCCAGAACACAAAACATTTCAGGAAAGAAAAAAAAAAGTTTAATTCCGGTAGTAATTGTGGTAAAATTATTAAGTACCTTTTTTTACTATTTTCTACAATCAGAATTTGAATTTCAACCAAAATTTCTCTAGCACATGCAGCTGATACCACAGATTAACACTATCCACCCTTGCAGCGCACGGAACGTGCAATACTAATCCCTACCGACCAGGATACAGGTGCAGTACACGCTATATCACACCGTCGCCGATCGGTGTCCCACGGGGAAAAGGGACGGCTTCTTACCATTGCCGATCGGCGTCCCGTGGGGGCATAGTGTTAAGAAACTGTATATAAGGTGTAGATATGATCTATTTTTAGCATGAAAAGAGTACAGTGAGTTTCTCAACAAGCCTGTAACCTACCAACTAGATCCGGGCCTTTGAAGACCAAAGACTTGACAATCTCCCTCTCCACATGAAGCACGGCTGAGATATAGGCCCGCGTCCCCTGGATGCTCAGACCCACAATGCCGTGGGCCGTCATGTGCACAGACTCCAGGATGGCCTGGTGGAGACAACATCAGGAAAGAGAAAAGTAAGTAAGGTTATCTTTTATTTTTAAGTTACAGAAATTGTCAGCAAACTGTTCAATGTCCTTAGTCCACGAAGCAAAATTTTTCAGTACAGAGAAAAAAACTGTTTCATTTTTTTAACAATATTGCACCTACTTTATGTATCTTTTTGTGCTTTTATTAATATTTAAAATGTGAAAGTTGACCAAATATCTCTCGACCACATGCAACTAACACCATGAGTGGAAATGACAAATTAAAATGCTCAAAATGTGGCAACCTGTTCTTTACTAGATTTGGTCTCATTAGCCATATCAGGAGCCACAAGCGATCCTAATCCTTATGTCTTCTATTTCTCTTTCAGAAATATTCTCCTCTGCAGACACAGTCAGATATCGAAGGAGTAACCACCATAAGATAAGATAACATAAGATACATCTTTATTGTCCAGATCCTGGCACATTGATTTGGTGTTTCACCATGTACACACATACACACACACACACACACACACACACACACACACACACGCACTTACACAAACACACACACACAAACATGTACACACACACACGCAGGCTCACAGTCACATGCATAATATAAATGAACAGTAATATAAAAAATAATAATGTTAAGCTAGATACATATTCAGTATTTAGATTGTAACTCAGAGCAAGAAAAAGTCCGTCACCTACCATAAAGAACCTGGCCGACGTCCCACACGGCCCGACCGGCGCCACCACCACGGGGTCGTCCACCGTCGTGGCCAGCTCCGGGTGGTCGTCAGTGACTCCCCTCAGCACTGGGGCGTGCAGCCAGCCTCCCAAAGTGTACCAGTCATGGAGGGAGCTCATGGACCCCGTGGGGAAGTGCTGGGACAATCACATGCTGCTGCGTTATGCAAGTCTTATTTTTCCGTAACCACAAAGTAAAGTATCACATCCCCACCCCGACCCCCACATCCCCAAGTGCAACACGTGTGCTGGGACATTTCAGTGACCTATGTTCAGCACTTTTTAAGGACCCTCGAGCAAGTGTTGAGTTCCTGCATACAGCTTATGATGCCACAGCGCCAGAAGAGAGAGAGAGACAGAGAGAGAGAGACAGACAGACAGAGAGAGAGAGAGAGAGAGAGAGAGAGAGAGAGAGAGAGAGAGAGAGAGAGAGAGACCCCAAAGAGACTTTAAACAGCTTACTACTGTTTCTTTTTTCAATAAGACAATGCTAGACATCATGGTGACTTTTCCGGATAAAAAAAGGGAAGTATCATTCATCATCATTCATCTACTCACCCCCCCCCCACCCCCCTCCCACCTTCGCATACCCCAACGATCACAGACCACTGCTACCTGCTCCTATAAGTCATAGCCAGAACCCATATGTGGACCCCCCTTCCCCTCCCCTGCTCCCCTTCCCCCCCCCCCCCCTCCCCATCACAGTGACCCTAGATCTGGGCACTAAGTCAAGGTCAAGCATGTTCGAAATGGGAGTGGACGTCCAACTTTACTTTTATCCCTATTTCCTATACTGCATAACAATCATAATAATCTAAATCCTATCCACATAGACTCACAGTCAATGATAATCTTCACACCAGCTGATGATGGAGACAATCAGCCTGCCCACACTGAAATGGACCCTCATGAAGAGGGGTGAGGAAGCATGGAGCACCCCGTCTTCCTAACACCCCAGTTCTACATTCAAGTAATTCAAGTAACAATCTTCACACACACACACAACAAGATTTCCCCACCTGCTTTGAGAAGAGAATATCAGCAGCTTGCGACTCCTTAGCTCCGACCACATTCAGAATCAGCTGACCCCCCTGTGGAAGACAACACACCGTCAACAACCTCCACAACTCTTTGAAACCCAGAAAACACTTTTCAGAAAAGAGAAACAAACTGGTCCATTCTTTTAAAAAGCGGAGGCAAATTACGCATCTTTTCTGCTTTCAACATTTGAAATTTGAACTTTGACAAATATTTCTGGAGCAAATGCAACCCATAACCAAAGATGAAGAATCAACAAAACAAACAAAAAATCAAAATGTTAAGCTTTGTAAATGTCAACAGCTGGCCAGCAATAAATCAGTGTGAGGTGATTTGAGGTGATCAAATTCAACAAAACTGTTCATTCTTTTAAATCTCAAAGGAACGATAAAAAAGTACCTTTACAAAACTGATATGTCTTTAGCACATCCTAATTTTCACTCTGTCTCACAAAATAAAGACCAGGTGAACAACTTAGCAGAATAAGAAAGTGTTCTTACCCTCTAGTAACACCCTAATCTTCAGCACTCATATGACCTATTTGTGTTAGAAGTGCGGTAAAACTCTAACTAAAACTAAACTAAACTGCTCAATAACTCAATAACTGGTGGACTTACAGCACCAACATCACCACCACCAACAACAACAAAAAAAAACCACCACCACCACCACCACCACCAACAACACCACCAACAACAACAACACCACCACCAACAACACCACGACCAACACCAAGAATCCTCACTCTGAGTGCATCCATCTGTGCGCCGGTCAGACCCGTCCATGTGACTGACACAGCATCCGGAGCCCGCTGACCAGAGTCCACTGTGCTGTTCCAGAGAACTGTGCTGTTGTCTCGCACTTCCACACGCTCTAGCTGGCCGCTGAATGTGTGAATGGGGCGGGGTGA